CGTCCAATACAAATTTGAGGCCTCCTTTAGGGTCCTGCGAATGAGGGTCGGAGGGAGGAGTTAGGAGCCCCCCCAAAATTGAGTGCTAGGGACTCTATTGGAGTTGTATTTTGACATGGATATCAATATTTAGCTATAAGGACTTAGGCAAAGGACCCTGGTGGACTCGCTCTTACTAGCCTGTCGTCTATTCAGTCACGGAGTCAGGGGAACGCCGTTGTGCCTAGACTATTAGTCATCAAGTGAACATGCTGACTTGTAGGGTCTCGACTTCGTGGTCTCGCAGACCTTTCTATCTTTCTCTTGTTTTTTCTGCCTTGGCCTTCCTTCTTGCCTTCTGTCCCCCTCCAAGCACCTCATGGGCTCGAATATAAGCCTCCACCTCGGCACTGCTGACGATCACAACCAACATGACACTACACCGAGTTAACCCTATTTTGTCATGCATTATCTATGCCTAATGAAGAAGGATTCTGAAACTGAAGAAGTCAGCAAATACATCGATATCAATATAGACATGCACCTCACTTACCACTAAAATAAATTTAAGAGAATGTAAACACTAAAGATAAGTTAAAAACTTAACCTGGGTCGACAAGTTCTACCACAAGCAACCTAACCAACTGAATTATGCTCAGTTCACTCCATGATCATTATCTTCGATGAGCTTGGAACTTGTATTTTCAATCCAAAGGGGAGACTAGCCTTTCGATTTGATATTGTTTTCTCTATAAAGGGCGAGGAAATCTTTGTTGTAAGTTTTTTTAGAAGAAAAAATAGAAGGACAAGATTTGGGTATTGCCGTGAAGAAATTGGAGTGGGAGAGAAGAAGAAATGCTTGAGTATATATTTTTCAGCTTAACATCTAGAGATTATAACTAGTAACAAACGAACGATCACCCTCCAGAACGGACTGGGATTCGGTAACGTAGCTCAAGCAAGTCTCACGACACTTGCACCCACTGCACAAGAAATCGGCAGTTCTCCACCACACGTGGGGGAGATGAGTATGGCTGGCTTCAACGTCGGCAAGGACACTCTTATGGTGGTGGCGGCAGCATCAATGGTGCCCCACTGCACAAGAAATCGGCAGTTCTCCACCACACGTGGGGGAGATGAGTATGGCTGGCTTCAAAGTCGGCAAGGACACTCTTATGGTGGTGGCGGCAGCATCAATGGCGCCTTCTCCGGCAACATAACAGGGTATGGTCGGAAAATTTTCTTAGTGATGAGAGCTTTACGGCTGAATTTCAAGTCCCACACCGTGGTGATTAAAATTCTATAAAGTTTTTCAAAAGTTTGAGTAAATTGTGGACTAGATAGAGTCAATTCTCTTAGGTCGAAAGGATCAACAATCTTACTATTATTAATTGGAGGCCCCAACGGAGCCTCCACGTTAATTCTCACTAGACGAGCACGAAAAAGAGATAAATCATATAAATTCTCACAATAATTAGAAAGATTTAGCCATCAATTTGATCGTTGTTAATTTAATAGCCATTAGATCTATTCAGTTTTCTTAAAAAAATTACCCACCTGCCATTATTATAAATATAAACACTTATAGTTGATCTAATTGAAAGGAAAACATAAATTATATTGCCATCCCAACCTATCTCACGTGGTATCAGCCAAATGCCCGCCGTCGCAGCCGCCGGCAATAGTCACACAACTTCAATCAATCACGGATAGACCTTCCAATCCTGCAGTACGCTACGTCAGGCTTCCCTTCCAGTCACGATCTTTCATGGGCTTCCCTCCCAGTCACGGCTTTCCGTTTCTTGGCAGCCCCTGTGATCGATAGCCTAGGTGAGCTTCTTTGGAGTACTAGTTGTTCTTCCGATTTCCTAATCAATCTCCTATTTGAGCTTGGATGTACAGGTTTCATATATAAACCAGTAACCGAGATAGAAGACATGGCAAGCCGGATTATTATGTTCTGGCGAGCTGGTGCTGGACATCCCGCAGCTAAACCCGGCGTCCTTTGTCAAAGCATGGATGTAGGTACAGACATGCTGCTCTTGCTGCGTGCGCGGGCTTTGGCGAACGGCAGCATCTCTGTCTATATTCTTGGCATGTCACTGTTGAGCTGCTGGTATGCTACTCTAGCTCCCTCATACTACCATGCATCCGTGCCAGTCTCTACTCCGCAGTTTTGGTCATACAAATATGCAAATTAATGCAGAGAACAAATACTCCCTCTATACTAAAAAATAAGTCATTTTGAACAGGGACGTGGTCTCCAAAGCATAACTTTGACTACTTATTTTTATAAAGATATTTATCAAAAAGTGATATATGTAATTTTATGTGAAAATATTTTTCAAGATGAATCTATAATATGGTTTTCACATTTTCAAACTCAACAACCTAAAAGTTATTCATGATATATATTCTCAATGTTTAACCCAAGACTTGTCTAAAACGACTTTATTTTTTAGTATGGAGGGAGTACATCCCAAGTTTATACATAAAGCATCCCATGTTTATTATTAATAAGATTGAAGGAGGGAAATAGATGATAATACGAGATGAACTATATGAAAAAGGTGCATTAGAAGGAAGAGCAAAGAACGCTAATCTCAATATATTCCTATATTTTGTTAGCACGTAGGAGTACAGTTTATTATTTAAGAACGTGTAATACTTTCCAACCAATGAGGAAATCATATTTAAATTGCTTTGCCAATATGTTATTTAATGATATCCATGTATCCAATCCATAAACATGTTACTATAGTATTTCATTAGTATAGGAACATAAGTAAATCAAGTAAAATTTGCAAAAAAATAGTGTATAATAACCATATAAAATATTTACATTGACCAAAAGTTAATGGAACATCCACATTAATTCTCACCAGACACATTAGAAAGTGATAAATTTTAGAAATTCTCACAATAACCAGAAACACATGGCCTTTCATTTCGTAGACTCCAATCTTCATCGTCAATAATAAACATGGGATCTACTAGTTTTATAAAAAATATCCACACCTCAAGAATGCATAAAGGAACTGTCTAATTTTGCTTCTAAACTACCCACTACTGGAAACAGAGACTTTGCCGAGTGCAAAATTCTTTGCCGAGTGTCAAAAATCGGGCACTCGGCAAAGAATTGCACTCGGCAAAGAGTTCTTTGCCGAGTGCCGGGCACTCGGCAAACACGGACACTCGGAAAAGGACTTCTTTGCCGAGTGCCAGACTCTCGGAAAAATCTCTACACTCGGCATAGGCTGCCCGCGAAACGGCGTTCGGTCACGGCCTTCTTTGCCGAGCGCCTGTTGTTAGACACTCGGCAAAGATTTGATTTTTTTTAAAATTTCTTTGCCGAGTGCCCCCAGATCTGGCACTCGGCAAAGATTTAATTTTTTAAAATTCTTTGCCGAGCGTCTCAGATCTGGCGCTCGGCAAAGATTTTTTTTTAAATTACTTTGCCGAGTGCCCCTGTCACGGCACTCGGCAAAGATTTAATTTTTTTTATAAATTCTTTGCCGAGTGCTCCTGTTGATGCACTCGGCAAAGAGGAATTTTTTTTAAAAAAAATTTAAAACACTCTTTGCCGAGTGCCTTATTCCTAGCACTCGGCAAAGACCCCTTTGCCGAGTGCCATGCCCCGGCACTCGGCAAAGTTTTTTTTGTTTTTTTGTTTTTGGCCTCCAATTTTTTTGTGCAGACCTTTTAAAGCACCAGGAACTCCTAGTTACAATTTGGGGATTTTTTGTGGCTTTTTTATATATTTAGTTACTTTATTTCGTTTACTTGAATTTTTCCGGAAATTAGAAATTTGAACTGCACGTGGTACGAATAATGGAGTTTAATGATTCGAAAATTGATAGTCATGTTAGTGAGTGTTGTGAGAGAGGCCGTATCCAAGAACGGACCCGAAATTTCGGACATCTTGTTCACGAAATATGTCCGCGAAATTGCCTGTGAAGTGTTTTTAAATTCTATAAAAAGCAAACGAAGTCCGAAAATCATGAAACTTGTTGAGATGTCGTGATATCATATGTGGAGGCTATGATAAAAATTTCAGAAGATTTCATGCACGTTGTCACGTACGATGCTTACACCAGGACATCTCTACATGTGACATCTGATATCACATGTAGAGATGTCTTGGTTTGTAAGCATCGTACGTGATAACGTGCAACAAAAATTTTCAAATTTTTATCATAGCCTCCACATATGAGATCACGATATCTCAACAAGTTTTATGATTTTCGGACTTCGTTTGCTTTTTATAGAATTTATAAACACTTCGTCCGCAAGTTCGTGGTCATGTTTTGTGAACAAGATGTTCGAAATTTTGGGTCCGTTCCTAGATACGGCCTCACACTACACTCAGTAACGTGAATATCATTTTTTGAATCATTAAATTCCATTATTCGATGCACGTGCAGTTCAAATTTATATTTTTCGAAAAAATTCAAGTAAACAAAATAAAGTAACTAAATATAGCCAACAGTTCGGGAAATATACCAAATTTTAACATGGAGTACCAAGTACTATAAGAAAACTACAGAAAAAATTTAGAGATCAAAATACCAAAAAAAAATTAGTTTGCCATGCTCTTTACCGAGTGCCAACTGTCAAGCACTCGGCAAAGTGTTCCCTTTGTCGAGTGTCTGTGCTCTGGCACTCGGCGAACCGGCGTCTTTGCCGAGTGCCAGATCGGGCCCATCCGCACTAGACAACCGGCCACCGAACCCTCCCTCCCACACACACACACGCAGTCACGCACACACGCACGCCGCCGTGCCCCGCCCGCTCACCCGCCGGCGTGCCGCAGCCGCAGCCCCGCGCCCGCGCCGCGCACCGCCCGCCGCAGCCGCAGCCCCTCCGCGCGTGGCCAGCTCGCCCACGCCGGCCCGCCAACGCCGGCGGATGGAGGAGGGGAGGAGGAGGAGGAGGAGGGGGAGGAGGCGAGGAGGAAGCGAGGAGGAGGAGGGGGTTCCTTCCTCTTCTTCCTCTTGTCCTGCCGGCACCGGCAGCTAGCCATGGCCTCGAACGGGACCAGCAGCACGGTGAGTCCGGCAACTCCTCTCTTGTCCCTGGATCGGGTGCGGCGCCAGCTCTCCTCCACCTCCACCCGCCACCTCCTCCAGGGCCCTCTCTTGAAGCGATCCGACACGGTAAATCCACTCCCTTCATTTCCCTTTCTTTCTGGATTTCCAGTTTGGTACAGGTTCCCTGTCTCGATGTCAATAGAAATTACTGCAGTAAACAGCTAGAAAACCAACCTGTGCTGTTATTGCTGACGCTTGGATACCGTTGCGAGCCTCTAGTTAACATCTGTTTGTTGTTTACCTGTCAACTGTCATTTCCTCTTATTTGCAAATTCAGTTCCTTGCTAGTGTAGCCGTGTATAAACCATCTAGTCTATGTGCGACTTCTGAGGTGTTCTCATTATCATAGCATTGCTATTTTTGTTTGGATTCCACGTTGTCGCTTCCACTTATGATGTTTCTTATTTTTACTCATATATATCAGCTAAGAAAGTGGAATGAGCGCTGGGTCATACTTGATCCTACAACTGGAAAAATAGAATACAAGTACTGTAACTGCAGAGTTGTTTTCCTTTTTGCCAAAGAGGCGGTACCTGAAACGCCAAATGAATGACACCAAATTTTTTGGATGATGTAGGGTCCATAGGAGTGACAAAGATGTTAGGGGAGTAATCGTGTTTGATTCGACAAGCACAGTGACACTATCGCCTATGAACTTCCAGTATGGACCTAATTCTATTCTAGTCCGTCATGACTTTTGGATATACGCTGTGGAAACTTTGTAATGACCTGTGCAAACACTTGGTGCAGTGGACTGGCAAAATACGATGGATGCTGTTTCTGTATCCTTATGGGGTATCTTTGTGTTATAATGTTTCCTCTCTTCTCCTTTTGTCTAGATTTGATTCGCTGCGTTCTTTGACTAGTGTTCTAGATATTGGAACTCCACAGAAAAAGGAATACTTTCTTTGAGCAGAAACTCCCAGCGCTGCAAGAGCATGGGTATCCACTTTACAGTAAGCTTTGATAATCTACGGTTCTTGATTATATTTATCTTTTTAACTTTTGTATTCCCTGAAACTGGTTTTATCCTGAACCATGAGTTTTGCATTACTGTTGGATTATCTCTTCCCTGCCACTGGACTGACTAAGATTAAATGAACATTAATTGAATATATGTTGAATCTGCTATTTGCACTTGTACAACTGGGTCTATAGTGGGTTGCTGTTTGATTTGTTCCCGTAAGTGTCAGTATTGGCAGAACTGAAAAGCGGAAAAAAAATAGAAAACCATATTAGTGGACTACTCCCTTTGTCCTGGATCCTAGATATTTAAGACAGATTAAGAGAAATTTCAAAAGACCCATGCATCCTTGACTTAAACTCTCCTATTTAGTTGATGCATATATGGTGGCTGTGGTTGGTGAATTTAGAGAAGGCCTTGCTCAACTACCGCACACATAATGGCAAATCACGCAATTTTTTACGGGTAGGTTTATTTAAATGGAAAAGCTTCCTGTAAATAGTTAGTGCTACTGGCGCTCTTGTTCCAAAGTGAAACAAAGAAACAGTTGCTTGTAGCATCTTGCAAAGCAAAGGGTTTCATTTGGTTCCCTCATTGATAATGTTACTTGGTTGCCTCAGTATATATAATATCCCTTCCCTTCAATTTCGTTTGGTTGATGTATGATATGTTCGATGTGCACAGATCTATCATTTCCCATTTTGTGTACTGCTGTTATATCTGCAGACCTTGAAGCCTAATAATATTTTCTTGCTTCATATGCAGTGCGACTCAGTTGGTACTACAGGCTCATAAGGAGGCCGTGAATTCATTGGGTGAGAATGGTCCTGCAAAATTGGGAACAGTTGCAACTGTTGTGGCTGTAGCCAATGCCACTGCAATTGAAGCAACAAAGGAGGTAGAGGCTGCAATGAAGATTTCCCTGCGGGCAACTTTGGGCTCAACTACAAATAAACTTACCAAAGGCCAATTAGATGATCTCACAATAATGATGGTATGCTCTTCCATATACTACTTGTACATAAGAGTACCTGAATTACTATTCAGTAATTGAGCAGTGGATGCTAGAATTGCTGATGTAATGTACATAAGACTGTGCTCCAAAAACCAGCAAATGGTGTGTCCTATAGACTATAGTTGCTGAAACCATTTATGCACTGTGAGAAGCTATACTACTTTGTATAGATGATAACTTTTTTTTTTGCCAAATCAACAAAAATATTGCTAAATCAACAGGAATTTTGTCAGTTACCAGCCAATTTCCTGGCATACTAAATTTGCTGCAACCAACAGGAGATATATATTCCCTTTCAGCACCCTGTTGCTATAGCTGGATTATATGACAACAATACTTCATAAAAAATTCACTGACTGACTGAAAACTGATTTGTAATCCTGTGATGCAAAAGTTGATAATGAACTTATCATCTATAATAAAACATTTAAAGCTCATATGATGGATAACTTTATTGTAGTCTGTCTTTCAAAGCGATACTTCTAAAACTATAATATGCTATAATTTGATGATTGGATACTGAAATTATTTTCTTGTTTCTATTTTTCTGGCAATGGCAATGCATCTGCGACCAACAGGAGACCCTTCGAGTTAAAGACGACGAACTCCACCAATTGTTGCAGGATATTCGTGCACGCGATTCTACCATCAATGAAATTGAAGAGAAGTTACAGGAGACTGCAGAAGCAGTTGAAACTGCTGCTTCTGCAGCACGTTCAATTGATGAAGAGAGAAGATTTTTTACGTCAGAACTTGAACGTTTTGCTTAGGGTAACAATCGCATACAGTACACATATCTTCTAATGCTTATTAGTTAAAGTGTTATAGACTAGATTCAGACCACCATGAGAATGTTTCATGTCAATGAAAATATTTGAACTTGTCTGTATTTTTGTTTCAGTTTAGGGAATCGGAGGAGAAAGCAAAGCTTCTTGTTGAAGAGAGAGATCGTTTGCTAACAGAGAGAGATTCTGCTCTTCAAGAAGCTCAGGTGTGGCGCTCAAAACTAGGAAAAGCTAGAGGAAATGCTGTAATTCTAGAAGCAGCTGTTGTCAGAGCTGAAGAGAAAGCTAGGTGTGTGTACAACTGTGTTGAGCGTGTGTGTGTATACCTGAACTTTCATGTTTAGAAGATCATCTTTGGCAATTTTTTTGTCTCTCATTCAGGAAATTCTTGTTGTATCCTGCAAACTGGTATTGGATGGATGTGATATGTGTGGATGGATGTGTGGATGAATGAGATATATATGTGATGGATGAGATATATATGTGATATATGTTTGTATGAATTTATTTGTCATGATGGAATATAAAAAAAAATTAAAAATTGTCGTTTTGGGTCACTTTGCCGAGTGTTGCACTCGGCAAAGGACCCCTTTGCCAAGTGCTATGGTCACAGTACTCGGCAAAGCTAAAAAAAATAGGCGCCCAGAAGACCATTTTCCAGTTTTGCCGAATGCTGTGACCATAGCACTCGGCAAAGATTTTTTTAAAAACAATTCAAACTTTGCCGAGTGTCGGACAGAGGGCACTCGGCAAAGAAATTTAAAAAAAAAATAAAAAAATCTTTGCCGAGTGCTGTGACCATGGCACTCGGCAAAGAATTTTTTTTAAAAAAAAATTCAAACTTTGCCGAGTGCCGGGCACAGAGCACTCGACAAATAAATTTAAAAAAAAATTCAAATTTTGCCGAGTGCCGGCCAGAGGCCACTCGGCAAAGAAATTTTAAAAAAAATAAAAAAATCTTTGCCGAGTGCCTGAAGGTTTGACACTCGGCAAAGAAATTTTGTAAAAAAATTAAAACTCTTTGCCGAGTGCCTGAAGGGTTGGCACTCGGCAAAGAAAATTTAAAAAAAATAAAAAAAAATCTTTGCCGAGTGCCTGAAGGCTTGGCACTCGGCAAAGAAATTTAAAAAAAAATAAAAAAATCTTTGCCGAGTGCCTGAAGGTTTGGCACTCGGCAAAGAAATTTTGTAAAAAAAATTAAAACTCTTTGCCGAGTGCCTGAAGGGTTGGCACTCGGCAAAGAAAATTTTAAAAAAATAAAAAAAATATTTGCCGAGTGCCTGAAGGCTTGGCACTCGACAAAGAAATTTTTTAAAAAAATAAAAAATCTTTGCCGAGTGCCTGAAGGGTTGGCACTCGGCAAAGAAATTCTTTTTTAAAAAATAAAAAATCTTTGCCGAGTGCCTGCAGGGTTGGCACTCGGCAAAGTGACCATCAACGGGACTGGCGCCGTGACGGTCGCTTTTCTTTGCCGAGTGTCACTGGGGCACTCGGCAAAGCCTTTGCCGAGTGCCCGATAAAAGACACTTGGCAAAGAGGACTTTACCGATCAAATTTTTGCCGTGTGTTCTTTGCCGAGTGCCACACTCGGCAAAGGCTTTGCCGAGTGCAATTTGGCCTTAGGCACTCGGCAAAGAACCTGAATCCAGTAGTGACCCTCCCCTGTCATTAAAAAACATAATTTAAAATTAATCAACTAAACTTGCATCTAGATTATCCACTTACTCTATTATTAAAGATAATTCAAAATAACACCCTAGCTCTGTATCTCAACTATACACCTCTATCTATCATTACAAAAGATAATGCAAAGTAACCCATACGTTCGCATTCAAACTACCCCATATATGCAATTATGAAGTAAAATATAAATTATCACACATAATTTGTATCTAAATTACCCACATCAGCCATCCTAAAAATAAATAAATAAATAAATGTCTCAAATCTACATATAAATAGAAATGTTCCCTCAACAAATCACATAGCAAAGTCACTGATAATTGATTTTAAGTTATATTAATGTTAAAACACTATGATATATAATAAATTATGTGAGTCGTTATTCTAAATAGCTTTTTAAATTTTGCTAAATTATAATGTCTTATCAATATTGGTACTTTAATTTTAAGCACTCTATATTTTATAAAGCAATGCTACTACAAATAAAATTATGTGATAGTGCCGCGCATGTGGTGCAAGGTGAAACAACTATTTAAACAATAAAAATCGAGAGACCAACCTAGGACTTATAATTTTTTCAATAAAATGAAAGATGAAAATTGTGAATAAAGCAAAAAAATAAGCACTAGAAATTCAGCTTGACATGTGGAGAAAAATAATTACAATATATAGACCAATAGTTGAGTTTAAATATAAATTCATGATGGCATACAAAGGTATGGAATAATAGTACATATAGCATAATCTTACGTTTCCACTAAATAAGTATAACGCTATGAAAAAATACAAATCATATAAATTGTAAATAGAGGTCTCGAATGGAGCCTCCATGTTAATCATGACAAGGTCCCCTACGAAAAAGTTAATATCTAGAAATTCTCACAAAAATTAGATGCATCCAACCACCAATTGTGTAGAGTATAACCAACTTTGACAATAATAACCATTTGATCTATGCTATTTTCTAAATAATTACCCACCTCTATCAATGTGTAAATCTATGTAGGCAACCCATGGAACTTTACTTAAATTACCCACTTATGCTATTAGATACATAATTTATGCAACCCCATAAATTTAGATCTAAATTACCACTCCTGACTTTATTAAATCTACGTAAAAATTGTAAATATATTATATTGCAAAAAATATTTAAACAACCATAAAGAAAATATATATATGTTTCTACATTGCACATCTATTAATGGAAATATATTAAAATTAGATTAAAGTAGATGCACGTCAAATACTTATTCATACGTGAGAGATAAATATATATGTTACATTTCAGCAATCATGGAAAAAGATTTCCTACACTAATGACACTAACAAATCATTTAAAACTATTTTTAAAGGGTATTATTTAAAACTATTAATAACCATGACATAAAATTTATATAAATTATTATTTAGATAATTTATACACTTTAACTAAAACATTTTACATCTTTATTAATAGTATAACCATTACTACATAAATAACTCTTTTGCAATAAAATTCAAACGTCTTGACAAGTGGGGAGGATGGTGTAGACTACACGTGGCTATATCTTCCTGTTCTTTGAGATTTCTTATCATTATAAGACTTAAACATTGGTATCCTGTTGAGATTAGCACAACTATCCATCCTAGATCTCCCATCAAGCTCTAAACAGATCTAAAGCAATGTTTTAAAGTGACTATTTAGGCCATAATCGAACTTTAGAGTGCAATCTAAGACCTAAAGTCCTTATGTAGCAATCAATAAGTCTAATAATTTTAAATTCAAAACTTAAATTCATGATATCGTAATATATAGATGAAAACACACATAGATCAATAAATGATAAGTTTACCATAATTAAATAGACACTACAAAGTATTTGGTATGCCTATTGTGTTAGAAAATGAACAAAGAGAAAAAATATAATATATACAAGTACTTTTTATCATCAAGAGACATTAAACAATAACTAATTCTTATATCTCTCATAAGATTCTAGCCCGTGCGAGAGCACGAGTTGATGAACTATTAGCATTAAATAAGTATGACCATTTGCTCGCAAAAAAAAAGAAAAAAATAAGAATGACTATCTATCATTATAATGTGAGTTATTTTTTTTATCGTGCAGCCTCTTTAGAGTAAGACTAATAATACAGCCGACTACTGACTGTATGGATACTTACAGATAATATATTAGCCCACTTGTATAATAGGGTTAGTCGGCTTACAGCCCACTTGTCAGTCTCAACGTCTTGGTTCCTGTCCATAGTTATAGGCTAACAACCTGCTTCTCTTCTCTCTCATTCCCTATCTCTCCTCCATGTTAATGACAACCTGCTTACAGCACCTTATTATACTTATACTTGCTCTTATTATGTTAACGTTACCACCTATATTAATTAAGAATAGGTAAGGTTTCTTTAGGTGTACTAATTAGCACGTCAATGGGCTAGCTTGCTGCTATCGGCAGAAGATAGTATCCCGCCCAGCTGAGTTGGCGATAAGTCTGTCCGTACCAAGTTGCATAGCGTGGTCCATCCGATGGGGCACGAACCGGCTAGCTTGTAATTTATTGGCATCCACTCGTGGGGTTAGATGTTGGAGGGCCATACACATTTGGGAAAATTGGTTCTATAGTATTGAAAGATTACAGAAATAAAAAATACCACCGAAAGAACTCTGTTACGTAAAATACCGTCGGAAGATGGGAACGTTACCTGGCAATAGCATTCCGTCATGTTCGGAAGTAACGTCGTTAGGTCCATCCGCATCCGCGCAACTTGAAAAGATAAAAAAAAAGAAGCCTGGCGTTGCTGATCTCCAAGCCCCGGTGGTTTCTCTGGATGGCATGCCTCTCGGCGTTGTCGGCGGGGAGGCACTCGCAGCGAGTCAAACACCGCGGTGAAGTACCCGAGGCTGGCCTTGAACAGAACCGTGGAAGCAAGCTTGAGCGTCCTCTCGACGTGGCATTGCCGCCGGCGCCGGCGCCGTCTTTCTACCAAGAGCTTGCTGATGGGAGCGGATGTGAGCCAACGCGCTGGACGCTTTTTCTCTTGTGCTCGTCATCGATCTCTGTGCTGCCGGGAACACCAGGTTGACGACCACGGTCGTGTCGCTGTCGGCCTTGATGCGTTCATGGCAGCCACTGTCTGGAGTCTGGATCATCCACGATGCCTTCGAACTTGAATCTTAGGTTGGGGCACCCGCTCGCGAACCGTGCCAGCCACGCGCCCACACCTCGGTTTGCCTCAGCTCATCAGAGTTTGTGCCGAGGCCGGTGATTCGCAGGGAAAATGGCTCGTCGAAGTCGCCGTCGTCGTGTGAGCTGCTGCTGCTCATGCTCGTGGCGGCGGCGGCCGACAGGGACTGGATTGAGGGAGAGCTCGACGAGCGACCGGTGTTGCTCGAACCCGAGAGGGAACACGCTGGAGAGCCTATTCATCGAGAGCCGCAGGACACGCACCGCCGGAGACGAGAAGTTGAACACGCGGAGCACCAGGAGGCCCAGGAGGTTGATCACCGCCGTTCCGGGACTCTAGCCAGCCCGTCGGCGGGCGCGTTCGCGCTGACGTCGAGCACCTCAAGGGTCCGGTCGTCTGGAGCCGGAGCAGACCCGTGGACAGCGCGCCACGGATCGCGTTGTCGGAGAGGTTGAGCACCCGGAGCGCGGCGAGGCTG